AGATTAACCTTCAGGGTGGATATAGCTCGTTCACACCGAGGACCTAAGCACGTCATCATTTACCCAGAATGCTTTGCGTGTAAATAAAAAGGCACTGTCCATGTAATATATTTTTAAAATTTTAGTTGAAAAATGATAAAAACTAAACAGCCTACAGTATTTTTACAGTCTTTATTTTACAGTTAAATATATGTTTATCAAATAAAGTCTAATGTTACAACTAATCATAGATCCAATAGGTTTTAGTGTAAAGTGATTATGAACRCCCTGTTGAATTTGAAATTAAATTATCAAAAGCATTTCCTGTTTGCTTTAAAATACTTCACAAAGAAACTCAAAACTGGCCATATTAAAAAAGCATGTTGGAATATTTAATAAAACACAGTAAGCTTAAATAAGTTGGATCTAGGACTTGTCTTTGGTTCAGAGACTGCAGCTATGAGCTCCATCTGCTGGATGAACTGAAAACTACACATTTCTAAATCTAAAGCTTTGTTTTCTACCTTTTTATTCTGAAAATGATATTTCCTAAGAGCAAATATCAGAAAGGATTAAATAAATGTCAGAGTAAATATATTAAAGACCAAAATCTCTCACTTTGAGCTAATCTCTGAAGAGTTGGTTGTTTCTCACGTTTTTGACATTATCTGAAATAACWTATTCTTTGTGCTGCATTACAAATCCAGGTAAACATAAGTGACTCAGATACATCTGCTGCAGCTCTGAAGCCTCCTTGTTGTTATAATAATGTTTTGGTGAGACCCTCGACCCACCGGTGCACCTGTGTGTTGTCATGTTTCCTCAGAGGCTCAGCTCAGCAGAGAACTGGTGATCCAGACTGTGGACAGCGCCGTGCAGGGTGGGGAGGGACGTCACCTGACCCCAGGTCTGCACCAGCTTCCTGTTCGCCCCGTTACCCAGAACGGCAAGCACGCCGCCGCCGCYGTTTCCATGGCAACCAGCTTCACCAGTGCTTCCGGTGAGACGCGTTCTGCGTTGTAAATTTTCATTCCAATTTTCAAACGTTCTGGACAGTTTTTCTAAGTTTTAGAGGTTTCTCCGCTCCAACACACGATTTGAACGAACAGGCTTCTGCAGAACCTGAAGACCTACTTCACTGAACCAGGTGTYCTGGAGCAGAGAGAGCAGTACTTGTTAAAGCAGCTAATAGTTCCTTTTCTCACTCTCCTCCCAGGCCTGAACAGTCCTCTGCAGATCTTGGCCGCGCAGGCCTCCAGCTCCCCTCCGGTGCTGGTGAACAGGCCGCCCAGCGCGGACGCTTCGCCCGCTCAGCCGGGCGAGCCCCAGGCCAAGCGGCCGAAGCTGGAGGACGAGGGAGGGATCGAGTCGGCCCAGCATCAAGTCGCACCCGCCCAGCAGCCCGTCATCGTCGCCATGCCGTCACAAACCCACGACCCAAGACAATAAAATCCAGGTGGAGAGCCTCTCCGTCATCCTCTCCATGCTTCAACTCCTACACAAGTTTGATACGACTGTAGCTGTTATGACCCAAGAAATATACAGGCAGTCTGTCAGGAGGAAAGAAATCATCAAGAACATCAACTAGATTAGATGTTTCAAAGCTACCGATTTTAAAACCGCCGTTCTGGGGGGAGTTATTTAAATATAACTAAGTCTCAGCTACAACATTAACAGAAAAAAAAAAGCATTAACATTATAACTCTCAAGCCAAAGACCTCACCTTTATTGCTCCTCTGATTAATGTCTGGTCTAAAAGAAATGTGAACTCAGATATCAGTGATGATGTGATAAATGAACAGAAGGTTAGGGAGGAAGTGGCAGACCTGGCTAATGACTCCTGGGAGATTAAATATATGATTGTACTCTTAAAAAAACTTGGATAATGAAGTGAGACTAAAGAAATCTAACAGGCTGTCTCAGAAAAGACAGACCAATATATTAAGGCCTGTACCGGAATGTAAGACACCTCTTGCCTTTTCTGTAAAGCATTAAAAGACAAGCTTATGTTTCTGAAGGACAGATATTAGGACATCCAGGAATGACAGAGGTCTTTTTTTTTGCTTCACTTCAGCTCATATCTGTKTGAAGCTCCTCAGATTCAGGTTGATCTAAGCAAAAGACATAAATAAAAACAGAGGAGAGCAATGTTTGTGCAGAGAAAGGCAAAAAGAGGCAGCTATGTGGCGTTGACTGAAGTGGAGCTAACCTAATGTAGACAAACTGATTGTTGTTTTTCTTTTGGTTTTGTTTGTTTTAGTATCACGAGCAGCGACACAGCCTGTGCAAATAGTTTTGTCCTAGCACAGAGAAGCATTATTGTAATAATTCTCAAAGCCTTAAATATTTCTCCCCCTACCTTTTTTTTTTTGTTTTTAGTCGATTTTATTTMAACTTTTAGACTGCTTTACTGTTTTAGATTAACATAGGTCAGCAACACTACAGAGGGGACAGATCTGCCGCAGCAGTCAAACCAGGTTCAGTTTTGTTAAGGGAAGAGTGGGACCAACTCACGACCACAACTTTCACCAGCTCTTAACTTTCATCATGTTTGGTTCTTTTCAYGCATCCGTCTACTTTTACTTTTTTCCTATACGTTTTCTCCTCATGACACATTTTTCCTCTCTATCTGCTTCCCTCTTCAGTCTCCACAGAGACGTCAAGCTGTTGGCAATTTGTGTCACAGACACCGCTTTAATTAGACTTTCTATAGCACTTTCTCCCCCGCTCTTTGTCTCCTTCTCACTTTGCCTTTAGTGTTTCAGAATGTCCTCACACAAGCTTCAGTTTTAGCTGGCATCAGGAGCAAGATTTCAGTGATTATTGCACAGCATTAGAAATATGCRTAATGATTGTATGCTACTCTATCTGCTAAACATAGCTATTTAGAAGGTATTTCTTCTTATTTTTGGAAAGACTAAAAAATATGTTCTGCTTTGTGTAAAAATGGCTGTCATCAAGGTAAACATTATGGAAATAGAGAGGGTATATGGATTTTTAAATGTTCCTGTTTTTGTGATTTAAAATGTGTAGCAAAAATTAAACTCATTGACATAAATGTTGCTCTGTCGCTCTGTTTAACCTTCATCACTCAGAGACGAGAAACAAGTATCCCACAGTTTTTATTTTCTATCTATATCCTTAATATAAATTATGACCAGAGTCACATGCATGAAATTGGGGATCATACAAATGTGAAATTTCAAAGAAATGAAGATTTCAAAAACAGGAAGTAAAACGTTTATGGTAAAATGATCAATCTCAGTTTGTCTTTACAATGTTGGCAAATATTTACTGGTTCCACATTCTCCAGTACAAAAAAAAAACAAAAACGATGTGGTGTTGAATTCTGAACATAAAGTGAGTTTTGGAAATCTGTCAGCTACTTTCTGACTAATTGTTGCAAGTAAAGCTTCACAGGGAAATCTGAAATCAACATATTTAATTTCAATATATTTTAGTTACCAGGAGAGAAAGTTTATCAATTTAAATATTTTGTTTTATGGTGAACCAGGTTTTGAGTTTTTAAAAAGTGACCACTGCTTGAAGTGGTTTTGGCACAACCAGGTTACACTAAAACCTAAAAGGGGTGACTTCATTATTTAAGGTGGGATTCTGTGGAAAGATTAATATTTTAGCTGATGTAAAAAGCACTTTAAGCAAACTCGATTAGGAAATTCATACTTTGCAAGAAGTTAAGAAATTTTCTCACTGATGGAGCAGAGTTAAGTTCTCCTCCACAAAGGCATTTTATACTCCAAGAAAAACCCATTGCTGATCTGCAGGAAGTCACTCCCTCTGCAGAGCGCCACTGTGGGAAGCTGATAGAAACAGCGCCCTCATTGTGTGGAAACTAGTTTGATTTATGTTGTCACATTAGCCACGCCCACTTCACAATTCTGTTCAGTCATGCAATGATTGTTGCAAAGCCCCAGGAACAAAAACGTTCTGCCCAGACCTTGTCAAGAATAGTCTCGGAGCTCCTAGGAAGAAAAAAAAGACATAATTTTGCTCTTACAAATGCGTCAGAGAGAGCAGACTTCTCATGGAGTATAAATCTAACTGAAAGGTGGATTTATAGTCCATCAGATGTCTGTTCATGCTGATGTAGTTGACATTTTTTCTGTACGTGGACATTAGCCTCAAACTGCAGCACACCTCACTAAATTTGATACATCTGATGGAGTATTAATCAGCCTTAAGGTTGTTCATTGAGCTATCTACAACAGGTAAGATAATTGTTCATAACTTTTTCACAGAACCCATTCTTTTGAAATCTGTTTGATATCTCCCCATGCATGTTACATTTATGACTGCTTGTGTTTTTTTTTTTTTACATACTTATAAGATAATTAGTTTGTGAACTGTCTGGCCCAGGCAGGGAGCACTGCTGGAGTAGATGACTGTAACTGGTGTGCATCTTTCACACACACTTCACTGTGTTGTTCTGATTCTATGACGTTTTGTTTTAACAGAAGGTGGTATCTGGCACCTTGCTAAGCTTTAACAATAATAACTTGTTAACTCACAGAGGTAAATGTCCTATCAGAACCAATTTGGTGGTTGTGTGTGAAAAACACTGGTGGATATTTTTGAATACTGTCAACAAAGAAGTAAATTATTCTAAATGGTGGGCGCCAATTAACACATACCTGAAAAAAATTAACAAAAAAAGTCACAATTTTTAGAAATTTGAGTGCACTCTTAAATCACTTTGTGTAAATTTTAAAATAAGTGCATAATTCAGATAACCAATTGTTTTCTTGTTTTAGAAAATACTCTTAGTACGTCTTTAGTTTCAAGAAAAGAAATGCTTTCAAATAGTTTCTTTTGAGTGTCCAACAAGATGACATGGGTAACATTTACAACTATTTACACTGCTGTTAACTCACACCAGAACCAAGAATCATCATGTGAACAGCTGAAAATCTCTTCAGCGTAAAGACTCCAGAATTCAGCTTCATCACTGAAGGTGAAGTCTGAATAAAGATGGGGGAATTCTTGAGTCTCACCGTTTTTATCCTTGTATAAAAGTAAACATTCAGTCGTAAGAGTTAGAGGAGTTGACTCTGGTGCTGCTTTGGAAGTTGCTAACAAACAGGTTTATAAAACATTTTCCTCTAAAAGCACCAAGACATTCAGCATTCACTGAGCCTCTCCTCAAATTGTAAAGACAATCCTCAGTTTGTCTCAGGAGCTTGGCAGCAGTTTCATCATGCTATTTACACTGAAAATACAAATCAAAATAAATTTAAAACACGTTGGAAAAAAAAAAAGTCACTTGTGCTCCATGAGCTGACTGAGGAGGATCTACTGTGCTTTGAACGTCACACTGCATACAGACCCGAACGCTGAATATTTATGCAACTTTTTCATCACGGTAGATTCCTTTGATGTCACAGCTGGTTTCAGGTCCTGTCCACTACATGAGCGCAGTCAGAATGAAGGAAACAGGTGGAGTGTGAGGATGGCCTCTCCTGTTCCAGAGCTCATCTTTGTGCTGAGCTAAGATCCACATTCATATTTCAGTAGTGTAGATACATCTGCCTGTGGGTACCATATTTATGAGTGCACATCTGTAGGCCCCGCCGTCCTCTCTCTCTGCAGTACTCTGTGGACGTGTGCGCATTTTAGCTGGGCAGTGGAGGTGGTCAGCAGGACGAGGCACTGATCTTCTCAGAGACCTCTGGGTCTGACTTGGCTACCAGGAAACGCAGTCGACCACCTCCCAGACGGATCAGGTCCACCGCGCTGCAGGGAGGAAATGAAAGGGAGAAAGATGGAGTCTGGTTACGTGAAGCTCAGCAGAGTTACAGTGATGATAACGAGACTTCACTTTCTGCACTGGAACCAATCAATCTGAGTAATCAATTGGCTTTAAGAAGCTGACACCAGGGTTCACGCAGGTTTCAGTAAGTTAAATTTAAGACCTTTTAAAGACCTTTAAAGACCATTATGACTGACATTTAAGACCAAACCGACGCATTAATCAAAACATTCAAATGGTCCTAGAAATTTTAAAATACAAACCTCTCATTGCTATCAGTTTAGCTATTAAAGAATATTTACTTTTAATAAAAGAACACTAAATTATTTTAACAAAACAGTCATATCTATGAGACCTTCATATCGACTACAGTGGAACACTTCCATCAGTGTAACAATCACTGATATCAGCCAAGTTTCATTGAAAACACTTTCCCATGTTTAAACCACAAGCAGTGGACATGACTGAACTTTGTTTTTTGGGTGGGTGAGCAAGCTGCCGTATGCGGGGGACTGTTGTGGCAAAGAGGTTGAAAACATGGAGGTAAACTGTGCTATTTTTTTCTTGCAGTTATCGCAGGATTTATAGTTTAACCACAGACTGAGATCAGTAGCAAACAGCACGTCATGAAGATAGATCGAGTCAACCTCTGATTACAGAGCTTTACTCTATTTATGCAGCCAACGCTTCTCAGGAATGATCGAAAGTAAAAAAAAAAAAAAAAATTAAGACTTGACTAAATTAAATTTGAGTTTTTTAGGCCGAACATTTTGATTTTCAAATTTTAGACTTTTTAAGACTTTTTAAGACCCTGCATGAACACTGTGACACTAAACAATGGTTAACACAGAAGGACAATGTTACTTGTGTTATCACTCATCCAGCCCATTGTTGTAAGGCGCAGCATCCCCTCTGTAAGAACCTCCTTACCTCTGGTAGTCCGCTCCAATCAGGCTGGTCCCATTAACTGCCAGGATGCGGTCTCCGATCCTCAGTCTGCCGTCAGAGGCAGCCGGTCCGTCAGGGATCAGAGTCCGGATGTAAATACCAGGAGCATTGAGTGGAGTGTGCTGTCAGAGGAATGGTTTGTGCAGCGGGCAAGAGAAAAAATAAATAAAATCACAATTTACACTGCAGCCATGCCAACTTTAGAACCTCTAGGGATGATATGGAAATAAAAAGTAGCTTTTATTTTTCTTTTACAAATGATCAAGACAAACATATCAAGTTATTGATGTCCTGAACTGCTGTGTGCAGAAAAGCTGAGAACAGACAGATGGGAGAAGATCACGTCACGTTTAGGTTTCTTTCATGAACTTACCAGGCCGTCTATGAGTCCCATGCCGAGTCCGTAGGGTCCCTTGTCCAGTTCCACTACAAACACCACACACAAGTCATCAGCAAGAGAAGGGGCGCCATGGGAGGAGACAGGAAAAGGAAACTCACACCCACTAATACACCCTGCAGAGGACATAGACATCCAAAGGCACAAAACACACACACAGAGGGTTTGGCTATGGGGTTGGACAAATGTGAGACATGTTGCTGTACAAAGGACACACACAGGTACGGAGGCGCATGCAGAGGTGCAGCCTATACAACACAAACATGCCTACAGGTTGCAGAGGTCATACTCAAAACATCAGCTACAGTGCACAATAAAAACACTTGTTACACAACGTTTGATCAATCAGATGCACCAAACAAGAGCTGGGATACTGCAGGTCTGACTTAATGACCAAGTCCACCTGTGTATAAGAGCCTTAACTTTTGACCACTTGTTCTGCTGCTGTATGTGTAAACAGAATGACGAATAACTAACAACAGCATCACCCTGAAGAGGTAGTGTGAAAAAAAAACTAATGTAGTTAAAAAAACTAAACTTTGCTGCAGTTTGAGTAAGAAAACTGATCAACTCAGTAAAATATTTATGTTACAGAACTGCTTCAATAATGTAGAGATGTGCAAATATAAACCATCAGCTGTGGGACTGGAGACTCAATAATCCTATCTGTAACACCTGTTGGAGGTGAGAACAATTTGCCTTTTTATCTTCAGCTGGTACCAGCAGGGCTCKGTGCTGTGGTCGTCACAGAGCAGCAAATTTAGCATCACTCCAATAGTATATCTGGCCCCTGCCTCTGACATCCAAACCAGATTGACAGTAGTTGTTAGTTGCCAACATGGTCACACAGACAGATGACAGAAAAGAAGAGTCGAGGATGTTTTCCTAATATCAAGCACCCCTGATCTTAACCCAAATTAAAATGAAATTTTGCAGCAACAAGTAAAAACAGGATGAATCATTAATTCTAAATTCTTTCCCAGCTTTCCTCCTGAGTTTTCAGACTTAAAGCTAAACTCGTTGTCAAAGTTTATTAAAGTTGGCAGTCAGTGTTGGTTTTATTTATATTTGTCATTATTATATGTATATGGTAAATGTTAAAGGTCTGGGGCCTCATGTATAAACGGCGCGTACACATAAAAAAGTTGCGTGCGCCAGGTTCTATGCCCACGTTGTGATGTATAAAAAACAACGCTGCGTGCGTATATTTACGCACACTTTTCACCTGCCGTGAGAATGTGCTGCAGCCACGCAAAGTTTTTCAGCTGACAGTTTTAACTCACAAAGTCACAAATCTGACCTGAATCCACAGAAATATGACTTTGTTGTGTTTTCTGGATGTAAGGAGCATGTGAACATGGTGTCAGGTTTTTTTTAGTTTGAGTTTTTATTGTTTAAACTCGAACGATCATGAAACTGAACCCCGGTACGGAAAATCATTTAACCTCAGACAAGAAAATGGATCATCTAAAAATGATCAAAAGAACCTCAGTCCAGTCTGTAAACTGTTTTTATATTGTTGTCACATAGTTGAAAACCTTTTGGGTCCCGAGCCTGAAAAACCCGACACATTACGTGCGGCTTAAAATAAATAAAAAAAATAAAAAAAGGCTGAAGAGAGGGAGCAAAATCGATGCAAATGGTGGCTCACTGTACGTTAAGAATAATTATTTTTTCTGTTTGTTGTCTTCTGGCTGATGCTGAGTTGAGTTGTGGCCGGAGGGTAGATTCTCGAGCCAGGCGCGCACCCTCGCCAGCTGGGAAGTTGTTCATATGTGTCAACCCCTTTGGACGTTTACCTGTCTGATGAGCCTCAAAAATCTATATTTTTTGCTAAAAATCCATAAGCTACCACTCGTACCCGCTCGTGGCGGTGGGTTGAGGGTCTGTATGCGGAGATAACAGCGCCTTTTCTAATGCAGGAGGAAAGGAGAGCAGAAAAAGTGGATAAAGTAAAGTTTATTGGTTTTTTTATTTCATTTTTATTCATTTTTTTTAAACGTCCGTTCAACGCCGTGTTCAACTAAATAGACAACAACTGACCAGGCTTCAACATCACATTCGGGAGATGTTCAGGAAAATCTCAGGCTTTGGTTATCCCGTGCGAATGTGCCACATAAAACAATGTCACCCCACTCCTTATTTAGACAGTTTTCTCACTCATTCTCCATTTAACTTATATTTTCCCTGCATCTAAAAATCATTTCTGATCCCACAGGGAGGAATCTGAGGAGAATCTCACACGCTGGACAAATTTACATCTATTTTACATATTTAAATGGAGGCGTGTCAGGGGAGGTGTCTCAGGTGCGTTAAGTTCCACGTTCATTGGGATGTATAAAGGAAAGGTGCGCAGGAACCTGCGTACACATGGATTTATACATCTGAATATTTTGGTGTGGYGCACATTTCTAAATTTGTCCGTACGTCAACTTTYAGTGTGAAAGCTGCGCAATCCTTTATACATGAGGCCCCAGGTACTGTGGGTTTAGGATGAAATCACAAGCCTTAGCTTCGTGGGATCTTGTGTCACATCAAACCTGCATTAAATCCAGATCCCATTTCCAGATAAACATTAGACCTCATCTGGTCTTGGTATTTTTATTGTAGGAGTAAACCTACCCTCAAGTCCATTGATGATGAGTCCGTTGGTCTTTTTGCTCTCTGCCATAGTTCTGCCGGAGCAGCCATTGATTTGAACGCTGGTGCCGATGACCGTCCCGGGTCCCCCTCCACCCTCTGGGTACAGTGGGGTGTTTGGTGGGGTCAGGAGGCAGGATGGGTCTGGGTTTGCTGTTCGAGGATGGTGAATGGTCCCGTTCCTTCTGAGGCTGTGTGTTTGTGACTGGCCTAATGGTCTGTCCCGTCCTCTCTCCTCTGCTGTCCCCTCGTCACCACCACCCCCAGTACGGGGGCTGCTATGGGCTGGAGGTAACAACTCCCTCTGTGTTAAAGAGAACACACAATTTAGAACAAAGAATTTTAGTTTKAAACWGTGATWATGTAGAGTTTAAGTGCACACTTTAYTTTCAAAACYTCCTCTTCTATCTATGAATGTATGYATTTCTTAAGGTGAATGTATACATTTTAGGGTCCTGTATGCTGGGAGATTATGGTCTAGTCAGCCRTTCCCACTAATTAGACAGCCTAAAGTCTAATCAGATTAACCATGATTTAACCATGTCTCRGTTTGTGTGTAAGCCGGGGTTGACGGGGAGTAGAAGGTTTTGTCTTTCAGTTATGGGATTATGAGGAACTCCTCCACATCCACATCTGCTAAAGCACATGACCTGGATTACTGTTGGGATGGGGTATGTGTGAATCGTTCTGACCTGAACGTCTGGCCAGTCAGCTGTGTTAGTTCCATTGGATTGCGTGTGCACACCAGGAGCGCTGGTGTGCGTTTGCGTCTTGGTGCGTAGGCCCCACAGATAGTGGCGRACGTAGAGCAGCTGTCTGTAGATGCTGTCCTCCACACACTCGCTGTCCAGGTCCACTCTGAAGCCGGAGCTGGGCAGCACGATGGGTGGGTGGTTCTCAAAGCTTTCCAGGAGATCGACTAAACACACACAACCTGCCGTTAACCTTATACGCACATCTAATGTCAGCATATCACTTTCTGTCTGTTGTTCTGAGATGCAAGCTATTATCCAGATAAGAGCAGCTGAAAAATGTTTTCAGACAAGTATCATGTTTTGCTTTCAGAAATCTTGATATAGATGCCCCATCGAGTTACAAAATTATGAAACCTACAACCTGCAGTTTAATAACATGAGTGGTTTATGTTGCAATAGTTTTATAAAAGACATAMTGTACCTGTCCTGTATATATACGCCTCATCCTCACTGCTGGGCTGCCATGCTGGGACAGGGCCTATCTCTGCTGTGAGCTGGTACTGAGTGAGAATCCTGTGGAGYTGGACCGGTTTCAGGTTTGGGTGCTCACTGGACAACACGCGCCAACTCAGCTGCAGACAGAGGGGAGGAGTCAAACAATCAGMGATGATGACAGCTGGGTAGCTGTTGGCAGTGTTGATCAGGGCATCATCTGTAGAAAACTGATCAGTCGAATTGTTTCAATAAAATCTGTTCAGCTTGATGYGTGTAAAATAGTGAAGAAAGTTATTTATGATCCCTAGTACTGTAATTMTTTTCTTAAAACTAATGTTTAAGASTATARCAGGWGTGTTTAATGTGTGTGTGTTACCTGCGTGAGCTGCTGAGGGGGTGTGGCCACGATGGAGACAGTACTGTTGAGTTTTGTGAAAAATTTCTCAGCCAGATGTCCCAGACCAGACTTGGCTGCCCATTCCATGACCATTCGCAAACACGCCTGAATCTGCAGCGCCGTGGAACGCTGAAACCAACCCCGTGAGGGACCTACACACACACACACACACACACACACACACAC